TCGGTTCCCCGGTGGCAAACACAGCCTGCGGGCTTCCAGATACGTCCAGCACCGTAGGGCGCGTCAGGGGAAATAACTGCAACTGACACTCCCCCTTCAGGAAAAGGATAGTCATTATTGTAATAAATCAGTGGGAAGGTGTTTCTTCAGAACAAGAAATTTAATTAACACACAATAGGCTTTTTTTTGTTTTAATGTTAAGTTAGGATGCCATGGCTATGCCTGCCCCACAGGCTGGCTTCCTCGGTGCTGCCTCCTCCGGGCCAAGCAGTTGCTGGTCCCCAACCCCACAAGCAGAACTTCCCTTCCCAGGCTGCAGGGACCAGCTGCCTTGCTCTCACTTTAAGCCAGCTTTTTTCAAGTCCTCTGGCAGAACCCGGCCTTTCTTCCGGGCCCTGGCTTTCTTCTTCTCCATCCTATCCTTCTTCTTCTTCTGAATGTTCTTGCGGCGTTTTTCCTGCCGCTGTTGCATCCTCTCCACCACTTTTTCTGTCCGCTTCTCCCACTGCCTTTGGCGTTGCGCTTTACGTTTCTCTTTACGCTTCAGAGCTTCCTTCAGACGCTCCTCGTCATCACGAATCTTCACGCCTTCTGCCTTATAGAGAACATTTGTCCATTTCATCTTGTTCTCTAGCTCCTGAGCTTTCTTCTGGTCCTTATCCTTCAGTTCCTCCAGCTTGTTCTTCCTGGTCTCCAGCCTGCTTAGCAGCTGTTTGTAGTTTTTGCCCGTCAGAGGAGTGATATTGCCTTTCACTGCTTTCCTCTTTTCTTTCTTCTTCTGGACCTTGCTCAACTCATTCTCTTCATGGACTTCAACCCTGTTAAAGACAACCTCAGCTGTGCTCTCCTCCTTTTTGCTTTCTGGCTCTACCAGTACCTCCTCAGTTTCTTTCTTATCCATTTTTGCCTTCATCTTCAACTCCTTTCTTCGGCGCTTCTTTCTCTCTCTCTCATACTTCCTTCGCTGCCTCTTCTCCAGGACTGCAGGGAGTAATTCTTTGCCATCGTCCTAAGAAAAAGGATGGACATCAATCAGGAGCCTTAAAGGGATAAAGCAGAATTAAAAGTGGGATGTCCTCAAGTTCCCGATTTCAAACTTCTAGGAAGTATAGTACATGTGACAAGAAGCTGTGGGCTCAGCTTTTAGAGATACTAAACACAGTAAAGGCATTTCAAACCCTGTATTCTCTCTCAACACCCCAGAGCTATGTTCCCTTTCAGGCTCTTAGTGTTTTTCTCTTTCCTAAAAATCACCAGAAACATGCACTCCTCCAAGCCAGGCCCTACCTTTTTTTATGTGTTTTTCCAGACCACAGAATACACACAAGTCTCTCAGCAATACCTACAGGCACTTCCTTAGGAGATGGAATTAGCTCAAACACTGAGCCTTGTAAGGTCATAGTCTTGTCCCCACATCCCCCAGGAGGCTAGGGAGAACTTCTATTGCATAAATACACATATGGATATATATAAAGAGTTCTCATACTTGTCCAGAAGCTTTTTTAATCTTCTCATGCAGTCTCTGACGCAAGAGATTCATTGCGGAAAAAGAAGTGGAACTTGGTTCACTTTTGCTCCCTGAAAACAAGAGGAAGAAAATAAAAATACTTAAGAGACAGCACTAGCTACACAGAACAACTTTCTATGTCTATGGGAGAAGCTCTGAGAGCTCTTTAGATGCTGTGAATAGAAGAATGGAAAATCTAAAGAAACCGGGAGTTTCTATTTCATTGGTTTCTTTAGAATTCCCCCTTTCTATCCACATTATCATTCAACACTGCCAGCCAGAGTGGCCTGCCATGCCCTGTAGCTGCCTAACAAGCCAGAAGAGAAGTACCAAGCTAGTGGAAACAAAGATGCCAAGGACATCTTTTCTCTGTGATCAGGCTTTTCAAAATCATAATGAAAAGCCTGCCTGGCATGACAGATTGCATCCAGTAATTCCCAGAAGTTATCCAAATACATAAAAAGTCTGTGATTCATACTAAACACTCCTGTTTCCCGAGAGCCACCCAGTAGTGACATTACAAATTTATGTACATGTGCTTTTAGGGCACATGGAATAATCAAAGATGTTTTCAATTCAGCTGAATGTCTTAAAGGCTTTCCAAACTATACATGTGTGAAGACACGGAAATGCAGCCACCTCAGGTCAGGTAACTTTAACCAGACCATGACAACACTGGTCTTCTTACCTATAACCAAACTCTCATTTCTGCTCTGTGTAACACCCTGTGGAGATGATTTGCTGGCTTGAGGGACTGCTTTCTGTTCTGGAGCAGGTTTATTGGTGTTAGAGACCACCTGTTTGGCTGAAGGAACATTTGTCTTCTCAGCTTGCTTCCTGGGTTTCTTTCTCTTCTTTTTCTTGAGCTGCCTGCTGGCATCCTCAGGCTGGCCTGGCTTAGATACTAGAAGACAAAGACAAGTTACACAAAACAGGACACCGCATTCCCACTTCATAACATTCAGTTATTACTGAAGACTAAAGTTCCAGCATGGCAATGGCATATCTCAATCTTAAAAAATTCCACAGTTTAGGATTTATTTAAGTAGAGCCAAACATGCTTGCACACTTCACGAAAATCCCAGTTCTCCCATGTCCAATCACCACGTGCATACAAGTGCTCAGAAGCCCCACGCTACATCAAAGATTGTTTTTTCTTACAAAAAAGGGCACAACGCCGCTCCCCCGGGCCA